CGCCCCCATGGCCTACAGAGAGCTAATGGCCAGCGACCCCCCCCCCCCCCCCTCACGCCCCGATCACCTCCCTTCTGTTGTGTGATGTGAGCATGTGTTCGTCTGGTCATTATGGGCGCTTGCACAGATCCGAGGGCGGGGAGGAGGTGTATGTGTGCAAATGGTGGGCGTATGCGTATTTATGCATGTATGATTTGTATGTATGTATTCACTGTGGATATATGTATGATATGTTGTAAGTTGTTTGGGGATATCAACTCTCTCTCTTTGGTCGCTTTCTCTCTCTCTCTCGTCTCTCTCTTGCTGTCTTTCTCTCTTTCTGTCTCTCTCTTGTCTCTCTCTTCTCTCTTTCTCTCTCTCTCTCTCTTCTCTTCTCTCTCTCTCTTCTCTCTCTCTCTCTCTCTCTCTCTCTCTCTCCTCTCCTCTCTCTCTCTCTCTCTCTCTCTCTCTCTCTCTCTCTCTCTCTCTCTCTCTCTCTCTCTCTCTCTCTCTCTCTCTCTCTCACACACACACACACACACACACACACACACACACACACACACACACACACACACACACACACACACACAACACACACACACATACAATTACAGGCTATGTACAATTTTCTTCTTTTATATTATTTTACTTTTTTTCCACACTACGCGCTTTTTTAGGCGTTTCTCACTCGCACCTTCTTCTTATTCATTTACCTCTCTGCCTCATTAGTGCACTCATTTTCAGTCTCATCCACCGCCAGTAGCAAACAAAAAAAAAGCCAAAACAAACAAAAAACACAGTCAAAAATGGCCTTAAATAACACGATAAAAGAAGGCAAAAAATACATTTCCGGCATCACATACTCCCTCTAATGCGAATTATCCTGAGAAAAGACATCCTTGATTTCGTTTACAAGGGAGGCGACAATTTGATTATTTTCCCGCCTTTTCAGCGATGCAAGGCCGACTCCCGCCAAATGGCCACTTTTGGCGGGAAACCATCGGAGCTTTTCTGTTAACGGGGAACTTTTCGTTCAGATTTTTTTTTTTTGTCGCTCTCTGTCTGTCTCTGTCTCTGTCTCTCTCTCTCTCTGTCTCTGTCTCTGTCTCTGTCTCTCTCTCTCTCTCTCTCTCTCTCTCTCTCTCTCTCTCTCTCTCTCTCTCTCTCTCTCTCTCTCTCTCTCTTCTCTCTCTCTCTCTCTCTCCCTCCCCTATCTCTCTCTATCCCACTACCACGCCCTCTCTCTCTCTCTCTCTCTCTCTCTCTCTCTCTCTCTCTCTCTCTCTCTCTCTCTCTCTCTCTCTCTCTCTCTCTCTCTCTCTCTCTCTCTCTCTCTCTCTCTCTCTCTCTCTCGCTGTTTATAGATACTCTTCATCAACTTATTTTTTTCAGTTATTACCTTCGAAAATCTAGTAATGCCTTTACACCTCAAACCATATACTCTCCAGTGTTGCATTCGCTGCTCCCGAAAATAAAGATTTATTTCGTATTTCAAGACAATTTTCGTCAATCCGCCTTAGCAATATTTTTTGACGAATTTTGCCTCTTGCTAGAAAATTGCTCTTCGGTCCCGTGGTATTTTTTTCATTGTTATATATATATATTTTCCAGTCTTCATTCTCCACCATTTATTCTCTTTGAATGTTGTTTATCTTTTATCTCCGCCTCTCTCTTATCCTTTTCTTTCAATCTTTTCTCCGTCTCTACTTTACTCCCGCCTTCCTCTTCTTTTTACACTCCCTTTTCTACACTCCTCCTCCTCCTCCTCCTCCTCGTCCTTCCTCTCCTTTTCTTTCATCCTTCTCTTCTCCTTTCTCTTCTTTACTCCCACCTTCCTCTTCTTTTTACACTCCCTTTTCTACACTCCTCCTCCTCTTCCTCCTCCTCGTCTCCCCTCTCTTCCTTTTTTTCCATTCCAGCTCTTAGCCTTTAATCCTCCTCTTCTCCCTCTTGTCTCTTCCTTTCCCCTCCCATTTCTTCTCTCCTTCACCCCTCCTCCTAACCCCCCCCCCCCCTGTAGATCGAGGTCCCGCCTGTGTGGTCAGTAAAGTAAGTTTTCGTTCCCAATTTCCATTCATTATAGCGGCCGTCCTGATAACAGAGCGGCTGCTGCTAGTCCTCTTGGTCGTCTTCTTCCTCCTTTCTTCCTCTTCTTCCTTTTCTCTTCCTCTTTTTTTT